ATGTTTCTCAGTGTATAAATTATACAACATATTCCCAAACCTTAGTTTTTAAAAAGTACGTAAACTATTAATAATTTTTTATGCTGATGACATTGAAATATAATGTTTCTGAAGATATAGGGTTAAATAAAATTTATCATTAAAGTCAATTCCATCTGTCACTTTTTATATCTTTACAAATGGCTAATAGAAATTTTAAATTACATATGTGACTCACATAACATTTTTACTGGATAATACTGGACAGACCTCAGAAGTGGAAGATCAAGTAGAATCACAAAGGGTAGTAAGGACTTTTAGGGGAGTCAGAAACTGTCGTCCTACTCCTCTGTTGGAAGAGGTTGCCTGACCTCTAGTCTCTATCTCTAGTACAGACTGGAGTTTGTACATTGTCTTCCAATGAGACAAAGATAATCCAAATGAGACCATTTTGTAATAATGAGACACTTTTCATTGAAAAGCTTCCCTCATTCTTTACTACCTTGCAGGAAGGGGGGAGCTCTAAAGATACTGAGGGCTGTTGTTATTATATTATAGTTTGTGTGATGTTGATATTATTGTCAATATAAATTTTGGATCCTGCTTTTTCTAAAAAAAACTATCCTACAGACATTAATCTCTTGCCAACAGGAAAAAAATTATACTGCTTTGCAAAACAGATTTATAATGTAGTTTTGGCATGGAATATTATTTAGCAGTGAAAAGGAACTAGCCAAAAATACATGCTACAGGATGGATAAACCTCAAAAAATTATATTATACATTATATTTGTATAAAGTATTCAGAAAAGGTAAGTCAATAGAGACAGAAATAGATTATCTATCATTTGGGGTTTGCCAATGGAGTTAGGAAATGGGCAATGGAGTTAGGAAATATGAGACATATTTTGGGGGTGATGGAAACTGAACTATAACAGTGGTTATACAACTAAATAAATTTACTAAAAATCACTGAACTGGAGATAAAACTGTTAAAATAGGAGGGGTTTGTGAAATAAATTTTCTTAGATGAAGCAAATGTATTAAAGGTTAAAAGGGGCCTCCCTGGTGGTGCAGGGGTTAATTAAAGACAGTGCTATCAAGCTATAACTGGCTACTGTGGCATGAGTTTGATACCCTGCCAGGGAGCTAACCTTGGTGCAGCAGACTTCTGTTTTACTCACCATTCTGTATGGTGAATCCTCTCACCTCCCGCACCTCCCCAGTTCTTGTATGCATAAATAAATAAACCTTATTTTTTTTAAAAAAATGTTAAAAGTAGCAGTGTTTGCACCTTCTCGTAAACATGTTGAATTTTTGTTAATTTTTATGAAAAGACACAGAAGGTGAAAAAGTAGAAGAAACTGAAAAATTTCAGCAACCTTGCCTATGACAAGCACCCAATATTTAAAAATTTATTTTTAGGATCAAAAATGCAATGAAAACTATTTAGAAATTAGATCATAATAATACTTTTTCAAACCCTGTAAAATGTGATCAAAGGCATACAGGGGGGGGAAAAACTCTTACAGCTAAATGAATTTATTAGAAAAGAGATTGAACTCAATAGGACAAAAAAAACTTCAACAATATTCTGGGCCATGTCTGCCTTCTCTTGAACTCCATCCTCAGTGAAATGAGTCACCATGTTTTACCTAATCTAAATTATAAACATCTGTCAATTTTTGTAACACCTCTGCACATTCTCATTTTTATTTTCTAGTTCAGACACTTTTTCTCATATGTGAAGAGCTACTGAAGAAAACTTGTAATTGATTTCTTGGTCAACAATTTCTACTTATTTAAAATAAATAAAATTATCTGAAGAACCTAAGAGAAGACTAGAACTGGAGAACTATTCTGGAAGCATGTTCTTATATTGGAGATTAAATTTGCTATATTTGTCAACTCTCCTTAACAAACCTTCAGTGTAAACAAAAAAATCAGCAGAATATTTTCATTTATTATTTCATTGTTGGACAATATATGATTTATCCCCACAGACGTGGTCACCATAATTCTCTCACCATCAAAGCATCCCTAGTCCCATATTCCCTTGTGCTCACAGCCCCTGCCCCTCCATTTTAACCCCTTTCTCCTTCTTCTCTTCCCACTTTTCTCATGGATGCCTCAACTCTATGGTCACCTTTAAAAATTTGTCTCTCTCTGACCATTTGTTTTGTTTCTCTGTGTTCCACATATAGGAAAAAATCATCTGATATTTGTCTTTTTCCTTCTAACTTATTTTGCTTAGCATCAATCAGTCCAGCTCCATCTATAATGCTGCAAATGACATGAGTTTATCTTTTTGATCACCCAGTAGTATTCCACTGTGTATATATGTGCTTATTGAGGAATACTGTTTTCAAGAAACCAAACCTTAAAGAAACAGAAAGGGGAAATAAACAACAAGTTTCAAATCTTTGAGGCTGTGTGTGTGTGTGTGTGTGTGTGTAACAGATCTGGAAACTGTTTCAAGTTTTCTTATTTTGACATAAGAAAAAAATGTGCCTACAGTTAAAATATCAAACTTGAGGTTTGTGAATTGAATATCAGTATTAGAGAAAAACATTTTACCCAAACAACCAAATTTCTTACTATTAGAATTGTTATAAGAGAACACAACCCTGATTCATGTCAAATGCAAAAGCTACCAGCAATGTTTACCTGTTGAACTCTATCTCCCTACATCACAGAATGAATTTATTGACAATATCATCCAGTTTTCTGAAAATTACTCCTTTTATATAATTTTATATTTTAATGATTTTCCTCACTGATTTTCCATTGACATGAAAGCATTAGATTTATGAATCTCTGAATGTACGTTTTACTAAAGAGTTGAACATACAGACCACAGACCCTTAAAAGTACATAGACTCACTGAGCTCACAGGAGTTATCCAGTTCAGTTTAACTTAGGACAAAACAGAGCTTTGGAAAGGTTAAATGAAGGACTTTCCTCAGGTTGCATACTATTCAGAGAAGAATCAAAACTAAAACCCTGATCTCCTGGTTCCCAGTCCTCAGCCTTCTTTTCACCATGCTACAATATGTTATTTTTTCCCTGTTACATAATGCAGATTAATCTGATTTTCCTTTTCTTTTCATTTGGAGTTCTGAATCAGCTAATTTTGATAATTATTGGGACAGGAAGCAAAAGACTGAAATGCCTCTGTAATCAAAGAAAACTCCCTGGCTATGAGAAGAAATTATATTAGAAGCATATCTCCTGGATGTTAAGACCTCACATCTGTTTTTTCCCCTTCCCCTTTAATTCCTGAGGCTCTGTTTGTTTTGTTTCCCCAGCATAATTTCAGACTGCCCAACAAGATATTTACCCTTCCCCACCCATTATGTATTTATTATTATGCCCTTTAATCTTTAGGTGTTTGAGGGGTCTTGTCCATTACGCATGGCATGTCCTGTCTTATGGTGTCCACTCATATTATGTCTTGGTTTGTGCTTATTTAACTGGTTTCTCATTGGTTGCGTGACCACTTAACCCTGACTTCTGACTATGCTACATTCTTGGTTTTCCCATGAACAGATTAAGTTCAACCCTAAAATTCTGAGATTCCTGGAAAATAATGTGAATTTCAATTAGAAAATTCATATTTAGCACCTATAATGAACTCCAGATTCATTCATGCTATAAGCTTAAATACAAGTGAGCCTTGTTATATAAACTGGTTATGTCCTCCAAAATTATGTGTAACTCTGAGAAGAACATTTTATTAAATAAGCTTTATTTTCAGAGTGGTTTTAGATTCACAGCAAAATGTGGTGGAATGTACAAAGAGGTTTGGGCAATTATTTTGTATTTACTAACTGTAAAGGAAACTTACCATGATTTATGTTACAAAATGGAAAGATCTACCCTTAATCTATCTTTTGTGAAAATCCTCTAAGGAGCTAAATAAACTAGATAACTATGCCAGTTATTAACTTAGTCTCTCAGCTCCAAATTCACCCTTCATTGTATACTCTGTGAACATAGAACCAGACCCTGTAACTATTTTCCCCTTGCAGTGTTAACTATATCAGAAAAGGATGCTGAAGGGACACTGATGAAGGAAAGGACATTCCTTCCTGATTCTATACTTAACCCTTCCTGCTGCTACCACATGGCTGCCAGCAGCATGTGTGGAGGACACACAGTGGTGTCTCCACCCAAGTTCCAATGGCATTTCCAAGGTCAGTCCCCATCAAATTTCAGAGACTCCCCTATAGTCAGATTCCCTGTGAGTCATGCAAGCATCCTCATGATTGACTTCCTGTTTTCGTATCCTGCATGGTAATAGGGTGTTTCCTACTGGCCCAGTAAATGTAAAAAAGTTCTGGTTGATCCATCCAAGAATGTCTCCTCCATGCAATGGGGAATTAGATTAATAATTCTTTATCTTAAATTGTCCCCGCTCAAATTACTATGTTATTTCTATGTTCTGACTCACTCAGATGGAAAGAGTAACTTCAGAAAATTATTTTAACTTCTCAGTATACTTATTCATAAAGTGATATGTGGGTTAGTTGATTTTGAATGTCCCATCCAACTCTAAAATTATATGATTCTAGGAAATTTATTTTTTACTATATAGGATATACCTGAAGCAAACCATATAATGAAAATACAGAGCACATTATAACTGTGTATTGTCTTCCCTGGTTCAGTCACGGTAGCTGGGTCTCCCTTCTTACCTGAATAATGGTTTCATTTTGAGATAAAATATTAAGTCACCACAACAGCCAGTATTTCATATACAAGTATGCAATCAAATAAGTAGGAAATCCTCTGTGGGAGTTTTAACTAGGAAGCTATCTAAGAAACAAAACAGAAAACTAGAAATACATGTGTGAATGTGAGAATTTAAAATATAAGTGTCATTTTATCCATTTGTGAAATTAAACATTATAAGGATACATTAAATATAGTAAAATTCTTCTCTAACATTATTTATCCTCACACATTGTAGGACTCTGTTCACCCCTCCATTACCACACAATTTAAATTTTTTCTTTTACCTTTCTCTGTCTTTTACTGACTGTTCAGCCATTAATTTCTTCAGTTCTTCTAGTCGCTGAAGATCTCTCATTTCTATTTCTTGCCACTTCTGTTCTTTTTCAGCCCAGTATTTTCTTATCTATTGTATAAATATTACATGAAATTTAAATTAGCAAGATATGTATAAGCAAGGAGAATAGCCATAATATTCTCTATTGATTCATCAATTTAAATATGACTTCGTTCTTTTTAGTTTTTAGGTCTGTCTGTAATATATTGGCAACAGAAAAATAAATTAAAACACAAAGTTGCGTGTCCTAAGAAACTACATGGTTTAACACAATCTGAAGCAGAAATGTAACTTGTGCTGAGACCTAAGGTTTTAATGCATAGCTAAAATAATTGACTTTCAGGGAACCACCAAAAAAAAAGCATGTTATTGTCTTTAAAGTATATGATCTACCCATTACTCAAGAATATTTTTATTCTCTTATGGTAATACAGTCTTTAGAAAAGATAGCATTAAACCTATTTTTACTTTAAAAGCATAAGATTATTTATGATAATGGACAGCAGGATGTTGAAAGCTTTCTGCTCCTGGGGAAGTGGTAGGAGATAGGTGGGAGGAAAGAGGAAAGGAAAAAAAATGGCAGAGTTGTGATATATAGTAGTTATGACTCATGTGGTAAAACAAAGGGCAAATTTACCAAGCTCAATAAAAGCTGAAAGCATTGTTATTACTAGGCCAGTTTTACTCCCTTCTTTGAAAATGGAGACAGAAGGAAAAAAACTAGAAGTACATGTATGCTATTTTCAGGGGTCTAGAACTATTTATTATTCAGCGTTCTATGTAATGTTGAAGTAGACAATTCCTTGATTACAAATGAGCTAATCCCAGGTTGCTGGTATGTTCAAATCACTGACAAAATTTGGTGCACTGGGCTGTGTTTGGGTAAAATGTTTTTCTCTAATACTAGATATATTTTACACCGCAGATGTCATATCTCAGAGCCAATTGTCTCCATCTTTGACTCTGATATCCTCAGCCATTGGTATTCTTTCTCGCTCCCTCTCTCTTTTTAAAGATTTATTTATTTATTCATACAAGCACTGGGTACAGTCAGAAGCACGGGAGGGTGAGAGAATTCACCAGAGCCAGAGCGGGGAACAGAACAGGCAGACTGAAGAAATACACTGCTGAGGGTAGCAGCAGGCGTAGCAGGAGAGGTCTGTCACACCACCAGGGGAGGCTCTCTCTCTCTTTCTCTCTCTTCCTTCCTTGTGCTTTCTATTGGTTGCTCTGAAACCTCTGTATCATCATACATAAAATCCCCAACATCTTCCACTTTCAGAACATGGCTTTTTTGATTTGACTGCAATTCAATTGAGTGAAGTTTGTGCAATTCCTGCTCCCACACGTGCCAGAGGTTAAATAATGGTTTGCACATTTTTCTCATTGTTAACTGCTTTCAGACCATCATGATATCCCTTTCATATGCATTACCTTCATATTTTGATGTTTACATCCTTTATCTCTCCTCATAACTGGCATATGTGAATTTCTACATTACCAAAATATTCTTGGTGACTTAGATATCCAAAGTTTCAATCTTCTCAAAAACAATGCCTTCATCTTCCTACATAACTTTAGCCTCTGTCTGAATGCCCTTCCAAACCACTAAGAGCACAACTCCATAACTTCCTTCATGCCAGTGAGCCACCTCATCATTATCATCAAGAACAGTTCCAATTTTGAAATCTTCAATTGTAGCAACTGGTTTTATGACTAGACTTACCTACTTCTTCCCCATCATCCTCCAGTTATACTCTAGTTATATAATTTTATCCTCTAGTAAAACCCCTATTACAAGGCTTTGTCAACTAATATACTGATTTCTCTCCCTATAGAGCAACTAAAGAGTTTACCTAATGCAATATTCAGATTCCATCCAATCCCTATTAAGATCTCATTGTCATTTTTCATAGAAACAGAATCAAAAATTCTAAAATTTGTATGGAATAATAAAAGATCTTGAATAACCAACACAATCCCAAGGGTGGGGGGGAGGGAAGGAAGGTTGTATCATGGTCCCTGACTTTGAACTATAAATCAAAATCGTATGACATTGAAACCAAAACATATACAAAGATCAATGGAATAGAATTGAAAGCTGAAAAATAAAACCTACACATGTCCAGGTAACCAATTTATGACAAAGGAGCCAAGAGCATATAATGGAGAAAAGAAAGTCTCTTCAATAATTGGTACTGCAGAAACTGGACAACCATATGTAAAAGATGAAACTAGACCCCCATTTTTTTTTGAAATACATTTTTTTTACATTGTTGATTTTTGTACATTTGACTTCTCTCCTCAAATGTAATCCCCATAAAATTCCCACTGCCACATTGCCCATGAAGCATCACTACAGTCTCTTGTGTTCTTCCCTCCTCTGTTTGGCCACATCTCTCTCCCCATTCCCTATTGTATGTCTCAGATTTATAGATTGCCTGCTAGTTTTGTCTTTTTAGACCCCTGTCTTATACTACATACTGAATCAACTGAAGATGGAATTAGTGTTAAAAACATTAAAATGGACATTAATACAAAATCTGAAAACAGAGTCTCCCTGGTGGCACAAGGGGTTAAGTCTCAGCAGTATGAAGCTATCTGCAGCTGTTGCAGCACAAGTTTGATCCCCGGCCAGGGAGCTGACACACCTGGTGCAACAGACCTCTCCTGCCTCACACTCTGACTGTTCTACTCTCCGCTCTGGCTCTGGTGAATTCTCTCACCCTCCCACGCCTCTGACTGTACCCAGTGCTTGTATAAATAAATAAATAAATAAATCTTTAAAAATAAATAAATAAATATATAAAACCAGAACCAGAATACCCCCTCCTAAAATATTCCTTTGAACTGAATGCTTGAGGAAAAAAGATTACCTCCATCCTTGGCATATCAATGACCCTTGGTGATAGCTTATTACATTGCATTCTTTGTCCTGTTTTTTATTATTCTATTCTTGTTCACAAGGCTATGCCACTAGATTGTTACTGATCAGATTTGGTCATTTACTACATGCCTGGCATGCTCTTCCCTGCCCTGTTGCCTGCTAAATCCCTCCTATCCCATACTTTAAGATTCAGTGTTAACACTGCTTCCTCTGCTTCCCTCCAGCCCCTCTCCCTTCAGACATGCTAGGTATAGTTTCTAAGGTACTAGTTGTATAGCCTTAGCATACCACTTTTCATATGGACCTATAGTAGTCATCTTTGTATCCCTAATACCTTGTATTGTGTTTGACACATAATGGGCCCTGATTTGATGATTGGAAACTCTTTCTGGTCTCTGGTTCGAGAATAACAGCATTATGGATGGGAACCAGGCCAGCAGTTTTATTTGCAGAATGGTGAAGCCTGAACTAAGCACTTCCCTAAGGACAGACAATTCTATTCACTTCGTATCAATTAATAGGATCCAAAAGTGTGTATCAAGAATTACTGGCTTTGCAAGCCTCAAACTAAAGTTAAGGCTAAGGGTAGTTAACTAACCCTTTAATGCCCCTTTGGGACATTTGTTGAGACACAGATGTTAAGCATACTGCTTTTTAGACTTTTTGAGTGATCATCATAACATTCCAATGATAAGAGAATCAGAAAGTTAGTGCAACTGATCAGTTGAATTTAAAACTTCTCTCTTGAATTCCATATGAGGTTTCTAGAAAAAGCTTGCTTTTCTGAAAAAAAAAAAAAAAAAAAAAAAAAAAAAAAAAAAAGCCCTCATTATCCCTGTCTCTCTTATCTCTGATTTGTATTGAATGTTCTTTCACATCTCACATTTTATTCATTTTGATAAAACTAATCTAGTAATGTAATAAACTAAAGAAACTATCCCTTATATAGATACATAAGCCAAAATACGGCTTTGATGTTTTTTCAGAGGGTTAAAATCATTTTTATATTTTAGCTTACTTTTTTAATCTTCCAAAAAAATTGTTTCCTACTTAAAACTCCACCAATAAACATGATGTTTATAGTATAGAGTACATCAGAGTTTAATTTTTAAAAACTTGGAGTAATATTATGCAACCATTAAATTATATTTTTTCTCTCTTCCTTCCAAGGATTAATGTAATTCAGCATAAAAAAGGAATTTCTTCTTTATACATAGATTACAGTTGGAAAACAGTTTAGGCTCTGATTTTAAGGAATCTGTGCAATGCTGAATCTTTGAACAAATAGAATTTTATGCCATGTCCCAAGGTCATTATTTCAAAAACTTTAGTTACTTATTCAGGAAGAGGGCATAATTCTTAACCATATACACAAAATATATAAAATATGAGGTTCAAAACAGCCAGTTCCATTCCCCATGATTTCATTGATATAGAGCAATGTTTATTTCATTTTTTTTTAGATTCCTATTTACTTACTAAGTCTTTGCATCTTATAGATCTCTTTTCTACTTTTGGCCTAGAATATGCACATTCACAAAGAAATAGTTTTGTTACACATAGGAATATAACAGGACATCATTAGGTCAGCCAACATCACACAAAGTGACCACCAAAGTACACTCTTTTTTCTATATTTTAACAATCACCAATACTTTGACACATAATTTTTCACACATTTGTATAGATTTCTTGAAGGTAAGAAATGAGCCTTATACTATGTCTAGTATAGCACATTGCAGATGAGAGTTTCAAGATATATACTTACTAAATTTATCCAAAGAAAAACAAAACCCCAAAACAACATTGCATGTAATGAATTTTTTTATCAATCCATAGAAATCCCAAATCATTGCTTAATAAGACAGCAATTTTTCAGTAAGTGGGTCAATTCATGTAGGGTGTGGAGGTGCATTTAATCACAACAGAGCATTGTAGACATGGCCAAATTGTTATGGCAGTCAAATTAAAGAGGTTTTTTTTTTTGTGCTAAAGATGAGGACTTAGTACTGCCATCCTCAAACCTTTATCTTTTCTATACCTTGTAGTGTAAAGATCTGTATGGGCTTCAAACCAGGATTTGGTGAAGCTCTGTATAAGAGCTTCATATAGAGAAACCAAAAAAAGGGTTAGGAAAAGGACAAACTTGCAAGCTGACCATAGATCTGAGGCACACAGGAAG